TATCGAAACGTCAGGCGAATAAAAGTATTGTCCCGGCGATCGAGTTGTCTTCCTCTCAATTACTTCGTGGGACTCGCATGTTCGCTTGTATTGACAGTAGACTTTTGTGTTGGTACTACCGCACTATCTACCCTAAATCACCTTCAGCCGATGTCAAGGCAAACTCAAGAAGACCGAGGTTGATACTACCCTATTAAATAGAGCACTGGGCCTCAACGCTTGGGATGGAAAAACTACCTGCTAGATAGTACTGCGGTTCGCAACAAATACTAGCACCATTTCCACTCCCTTTAATGGTAAACGTGATACACCGTAGCAGCCGTTTCTGTCTTAAAAACAGCCAACCAAAGTTAAGCAAAGACGACCAACTTACTGCTCTATTACCGGTTCCAAGGACAAACGTTTCGCTAGTCCTTTGTGGCGACCATTAGCAGTAAGGGTCAGCGAACGTAGAAGACAGCGATCGAGAAGGAAGCTAATTTCTGCTACCTCTGACGTATTGATCTCTTCCCCTGTTTTGGGATCACGCCAGACAGCAACTTCCGGACACTCCCAGCCACGATAGGGACCCAGAACATCGCCTGGGCAGGTGATGGTGAGCATTTTGATTCTACTGGCAAGTGTAAACAGTGGTTGAATCTCCTGATTATTGCAGCATCCATGAAGGTAACTAGCGCCAAGATCTAACACAAACGGACACCGCAGGCTGGGCACTGTGGCCGAACCTGAACCGGGTGGGAGGGAGATTGTGTGAATGCGGCCACCATGGCGCTTCCTTGCCTCTAAGACCACGACTTTAAGACCTTCTTTGGAAAGCACTTTCGCTGCAGCCAAACCAGAAATTCCGGCTCCGATGACAATCACATCAAATTTCTCATCAGGCATTGTCCAACTGCAAGGGGAAATGAATTGTGATTAGCAGACTGTCTGAACAAAGTGGCATGCATAAAGAAAGGTGGTCAAGGGTGATGGTTTGAACCAGTCCTCCATATACCTTTCAAAAAAAGGGAAATAAGGTGGGGGTAAAAACTTCACGGTACTAAGACTCATCGACAGTGCCACAAGAATTCTGTTGTTACAATTCTTCAATGGCTCTAGGAAGGCTCTGTAATCAGGCCAGTTTGTGAGATAGACGACTGCCTGGTAGCCAAATATTTACCCTTCCGCGCGTTCTCCAGTTATGTGTTGAACTTACCAGCATCAGTACTCATTAGTACTGCTTCGGTCGGCTTCAGAATCTACATCATCACAAAATTAGTATAAGCCCATGCCCTACAGTCGGTAACTGTCGCATAAAACCTTTCTGCTACTGGCATTCAGACCATAAAACACCGACCACACTAATGTTTGAACAACCATCATCTCCTCGCCTTCCCCGACTGATTTACCTATTCAAATGCGTTAAAATAAGTCGAACTAACTCAAACAGAGACCCACCGAAAAAATGACAGTAAATTTGACTACTGGGGTGCGCTACCGAAGCCTCCTAGGCGGCTTTCCTTTACTACCTTAACGAGTAAAGTACCAGAGGAGACAATTTTGAGTAAGCACTCTAAGTGACTACTAAAACCGAAATGTCGGGAAAAGGATATCAGATTTAAATATTGCGATCGATATAAAGACGTCCACGGCTATGGATGCGTTCCGCAACCCTGATCGAGTGGTTTGGGTGAGTTGATGACTTTGACTACTCAATCACGAATGTGCCCTTGGTATCCGGTGCTGAAATGTGCGAAAGCTTCTCCAGCCTAGTGTCCAAAGTCTGACGCCGTATAGCCTTTAGATATACAATCCGAATATCTGCTG